GGAATGTTCGTTTTTCTTTATAAGAATTGTCTTACCTAAACAATTTTTGCGCGACATGCAAACAATTAACAAATAATGTATACAAACAAAAACCGCCTCTGACGGAGTTTCCTCGGAACTTGATTTTTCTAAAGAATGTTTGAATAAAAAAAAATTTTTTTTTGAACATATAACATATGCCAACTTTGAGAATTTAAAACAGAGTTTCGACAATTTTACGACTTGTATAAATATACTATTCATAAATATGCCGGTCACTTGATAAAATTTAAGGTTCAAATTTAAATAATGGGCTGCCTCGAAAAAACACAGTAATTCAGTAAGTGAATTCCTTATATGTTAATTTTCGGCAAGGAACGTTATATTAAGTCCCATAGTTTATTTAATGCAAGTCAATTCTATGAACGTTTTCTGTCACACACACAAATAACTTTTTTAATAATTTAATTTCAAGAGTATATTTCCGCGTTCAAAAAAATAATTTTTTTTTGAGCAAACGTCTAAAAGACGACGATGAATTCAAGGGATATAATAAACAATGATAATAACCTTATTATAGAAATTAGTAACAATGACGTCAGTGAAGATGTCAGCAATAATAATAAGGATACTACTAATAATGATAATGATGTGAAAAAAACGGCAACAGCATCATTTTCTGTAACTAATCCATTTGCTTATACACCAGCCTCTTTATATAAATTTGTAGACCCTAAAGATTTATCGTATTTATATAATATTGGCGGTTTGGATGGTTTGCTATTAGGTTTGCATACTAATGAAAAATCAGGTTTAGTGGATATCAAAGAAAATCTCAAAGAAAGAGATTCATTGAATCCCATAACTTTAGAAGAAATTTTAAAAGAACAACAAAAAGAACCACCAGCAAATGATGAAGAGGAAGAAAAAAATGAATCCCATAATCTTTATCAACTTAATCATAATTTTGATGTTAGCGAAGATTCTCCATTTTATGAACGAATTAGAATTTTTGGTAAAAATGTTTTACCCGAAAAAAAAGCCAAGACGATATTTGAGCTGATGTGGATGGCTATGAAGGAACAAATTCTAATTATTTTAACGATCGCTGCTGTTGTCTCTTTAGCTCTCGGAATTTATGAGGATTATGGCCCTCAAAACCATAGGCCAGACGAGCCAAAAATCAAATGGGTTGAAGGTGTAGCTATAATCGTAGCTATAATAATCGTTGTTTTAGTTGGCAGTTTGAATGATTGGCAGAAGGAACGTCAATTTAGAAAATTAAATGCAAAAAAAGAGGATCGTAATGTGAAAGTCACTAGGAATGGTAAAGAAATGTTGTTATCTGTGTATGAAGTCTTGGTCGGTGATATTCTTCATTTAGAGCCCGGTGATATAATTGCCGTGGATGGCGTGTTGATATCTTCTCAAAATCTTCGTTGTGATGAATCTGCAGCTACCGGCGAGAGTGATGCTGTAAAAAAAAAGAGTTATTATGAATGCGAAAAAGAATCATTAATTGCTGGCAATAATGTTGGTGGTGATGATCATGATGGTAATAAAGCTAAAAAAATTTTAAAACATATTAAATTTGATCCTTTTGTTATAAGTGGAAGTAAAGTTTTAGAAGGCGTTGGTAAATACGTTGTTACTGGTGTCGGTATTTATTCTTTTAACGGGAGAACATTGATGGGTAATTATTTCATATAATAAATATTTTCTCAATTAGAAAAAAATTAAAATAAATAAATAAATATATATATATATGTATACACACACTTTCAGCATTGAGAAAAGACCCAGAAAATACACCACTTCAAGATAAATTGAATGATTTAGCTGAAAGAATAGCAAAACTTGGCGGAACTGCTGCAATCATTATGTTATTAACTTTATTAATAAAATATTTTGCCACGTTTCATCCAAGCGATGGTGCAGCTACAATAATCGAAAATTTGGTCACAATAATTATTTCAACAGTTACTATTGTTGTCGTTGCTATTCCCGAAGGTCTTCCTTTAGCTGTTACACTTGGTAAATATAACATATAATATATAATATATAATATGAATTTTCTTCTAATAAATGTTTTTATTTTAAAAGCACTTGCATACGCTACTACTCGTATGTTAAAGGATAATAATCTCGTAAGAGTCTTATCAGCATGTGAAACAATGGGTAATGCAACAACAATATGTTCTGATAAAACTGGTACTTTGACACAGAATAAAATGACTGTAGTTACTGGAATAATAGGGTCTTCAGTAGAGTTTCAAAGACAGGGTTATAAAAAAAACGAATCGTTATTGAAGGACCCAAAATCAATTGAAAATTTACGAGAATCTTTACCAACTGAAATTTTGGAATTATTAGACGAATCTATTTCAGTAAATTCTACCGCATTTCAGGGTGATGAGTTAGTTAATGGAAGAAATGCTTTTGTTGGTTCAAAAACCGAAACTGCTTTATTAGATTTTTTGTTGGATTTAGGACTTGATGATTTCAATGATTTAAGATCACAAGCTAATGTCGTACAATTGTTTCCTTTCAGTTCTGAACGTAAAGCAATGGGTATTTTGATTAAAAAAGAAGACAAATGGAGATTTCACATTAAAGGTGCTAGTGAGGTATTGTTAAGTAAATCAGAATCGGTAGTAAATATTGCCACTGGTGATGTGATTGATTTAAATAATATAAATATAAACAATAATAATGGTAGTGGTGACATTAGTAGCGGCAGCAGTTATAATATGAGACAACTTGAACAACTTATCGAGTCTTTTGCCAATGATAGTCTTAGAACAATCACTGTTGCTTATAGGGATTTTGAACAATGGCCTCCAAAGGATGTTACTGCTTTAAACGACGATGATGAAGTAAAATATGAATATTTGGCTGAGAAACTTACTTTGATTGCTATATTCGGTATTGAAGATCCGTTAAGAGATGGTGTAAAAGAAGCCGTAGAAGATTGTAAAAGAGCTGGCGTTTATGTACGTATGGTAACGGGTGATAATATATCGACAGCTAGATCCATTGCAATTCAATGCGGTATTTTTACTCCTGATAATAAGGATAAAGATAAGACTAACCCTCATGATAAAGATTATGATGGTGGTATAATCATGGAAGGACCTGATTTTCGCAAACTTTCATCAGATAAAATGCAAAGAATTATACCGAAATTACAAGTTCTTGCTAGATCGAGTCCAGAAGATAAAAGAATTTTGGTGGGTAAACTTAAAGAATTAGGTGAAATAGTGGCAGTTACTGGTGACGGGACTAATGACGGTCCAGCACTTAAAACAGCAGATGTTGGATTTTCAATGGGTATTGCTGGTACTGAGGTGGCAAAAGAAGCTTCTTCAATCATCTTAATAGATGACAACTTAGAAAAAGCTTTGAGAAAAATAGAGTTGTTAGAAAATATTGTGGCATGACAAAAATATTTAGCAGACAAGCAACTTCAAGAACTGCCAGATTTACCAAGGAAAGAAAACAAATTTAAACTCCTAACCAATGAACTAAAGAAATAAACTAGTCAACTAAAAGAAATAACTAGAGAAAAATTTAACACCTATATCTTACAAAAGAACAAATAGTATGAAATTAGATGTAACAAATTACTCCGAAGTCATGTGTAACATCGGGGTGGTACATAAATATTTACATTAGAAACGTGACACATTT